TAAAATTCACTCAACATTCACGCTAGATTCACTCAACATTCAACCTGATATTGTCCCTACCATTCACCAGCAGGACCCAACAGCTGATAAGAATGTTAGACATTCTGGTACACACGACTGGCCCTCTTATCGTGGTGTGTGTGTGTGTGTATGTGTGTGTGACTGTGTGTGTGTTTGTGTTGTGTGTGTGTGTGTGTGTGAGGTTTCATGGACGAAGATTGTAGTGTTTGTTTTATTCTCCAGACACACACACACGCACACACACACACACACACACACACACACACACACACACACGCGCACACACACACCCACACAACACCACAGAAAGGTGGCCTTGTGGTGAAGAGAGAAGGAGGAGAAAGAGTAAGAGGGAAGAAGGAGGAGAAGAAGATGAAGAACAAAAGGAGAGAGAGACAATGAGGTGAGAGAGAGAGAGAGGAGATGAACTTACAGTGAGGGAAGAGTATAAGGAACCAAGGTCCGCGGAAGACGAAGATTAGAAGATGGAAGAAGGAGAGAAGAAGATGGAAGAAGAAGAAGATGAAAGAAAGAAAGAAGATGGAAGAAGAAGAAGAAGAAGATGGAAGAAGAAGAAGAAGAAGAAGATGGAAGAAGAAGAAGAAGATGGTAGAAGAAGAAGAAGAAGATGGAAGAAGAAGAAGAAGATGGAAGAAGAAGAAGAAGATGGAAGAAGAAGAAGAAGATGGAAGAAGAAGAAGAAGATGGAAGAAGAAGAAGAAGAAGAAATGAAGAAGAAGATGGAAGAAGAAGAAGAAGATGGAAGAAGAAGAAAAAAAGAAAGAAGAAGAAAAAAAGAAGAAGATGGAAGAAGAAGAATAGAAGATGAAAAGATAAAGAAGAAGTGGGAAGAAGAAGAATAGAAGATGGAAGAAGAAGAATAGAAGATGGAAGAAGATAAAGAAGAAACTACACGAACCAGACAATGTCTCTACTCACGTTCTTGATCCACTTTTTAATTCCTCGAATCACCTACTACACCCATACTCACAACGAATATTCACCACTATATGATTATCCCACCGAAATTTATTCCCGCGTGACACGACAGCGAACACATGACAGTTTACAGTCGTAAATATATTTCCTTCATGTCCCAGCCAATCAATATCTGTAGAGAAACAAATCACTTCATTTCAAAACCATAAATGGTTTATATCCTTGACCTTAAACAAATTCACATTCATTTTTTGTTATCATTTTGGTGGATGGGAACTAACGAAATACCACATTGCTGAAATCCTGTATAAAGGAGGTATTCATTCAGTTCACATCCCCTCCAAACATCAACCAAAAAACCCAACCACTGTATATAATAAAGTAAATTTTATGTTTTGTTTCCACTCAAACTTCATAAATAAG